GTCCCCTGGAGTAACTGCATTTTTTAATTTCAAAATGACAGCTTGTTTTATTTCACAAAACCTCTGCTTCAGGATGAGCAGTGCCTGCTGCCTGCAAAATCACCCCATATAGCATTTTGTCCTCATCATTTAGCATGTGGTTCTGTGCATTATTTATTGTGCAGAATCCAAGCCCTGCACTGAAAACTAATTATTAATTTACTTCCATTTTTTTTGTCACCAGAACTTCAGATAATTTTTTCCCCAACGTTCACTGCCTGATTTCTCAAACACTGATGTGAGGCATGGTGGGATTATTCACCATGTTACACACAATTAACTCAGATGAAAAGGGTTATAATCCATTTTTCCAGACCTGCATTCCACTGATTCAGCAACATGGCTATCCTGTCACATTTGCACTGCTGCAGGGAGGGAGAAAGGGCACTCCAGGAACCTTCATGGCACAGTCTCATTTCCTCAAAGCACAAGCCATTCTAGCCAAGGATGAGGGACAGCAGAAGACAGACTGAACCCAAATTTCCCTGTCTGACATGGGAAGTTTTGCTGAGACTCAGACTGTGACACACTCTTTTGCTCAGCTCAGCCATCATTGCGGCTGCTCCGATCAGTCCCTGGGTACATTTTTCACCCTGAGGTCCTGAATTCTCATTAATGCAGTCACAGAAAATTCTGGATAGCCCAACTGGAGGCATTTTCAGAGGAGCTGGCAGTGTGCTCAGAGAAACAGCTGAGGCCAGGCCGGGGACAGGGAGTGCAATTCTGGTCCCAGCTCAGTCGGTGGAAGGGTTTCAGCAGAGTCCAAGGCCTGTCTCAGCTTCCTCTGAGGGCTTTTAGTGCTCTGTGCTGATTCCCAAGAGTCACAAACCTCAATATTTCTTCTGTGGCCTGGCAGGAATTTCAGATTAATGTATGAATGTTAGCCTTCTTTGTCCTTTCTTGCTTAGCAGAGCCTCATGGTGGTCAGCCAAGGATTGTAGGGAAAAGCTCTGGGTTACCTTTATGTTCTCCTTGGACAGGGATGAGATGAGAGTTGAGGTGGAAAGAACAAGCAGCAACCCTGAAAGCTGGAGTGGGGGCCTGCATTACCTCTATAGGATTGTTTGTAGAGAATTATTCCTTTTCTTCCCCGGTTAAAGCAGAAAACAGGCTCATGCAGCCTAAGTGGCAATGGCTGTAGCGACACAAAAAAGCTGCTGGAGCACTCAGTGTTTCCCCCTGAACACTACAGACAGTGGTCGCCCTGTCCTAGCTGCATCTCTTATGATGCTCCAAAGCTAGAATATTTTTTGTAGGGAATAGGGGGATACTAAGTCAGCTGCTGCTCCCTTAAAGTACAACGCTCTCAGTAAAACTCAGTTAATGAACCACATAAAAATGGCCATCTGGTTTTGAGTTGATTTTTTGTTCCCTCTAAGGCTATTCCATTAAACCCTGCCTGCCAAGCTGCCTCCCAAAAACACAGATCCAAACTTTGAGCTCCTCCATCCCCAGCTCAAACCAATGGGCATTCTGCTTGCTGAGCAGTTCCTGGGACTTTTTGCATCTATGTTTTCTCAAAGCCGGGAATATCAGCAGCTCTGCTGACAAAGTAAGTGCAAGGATGCAGAGGAGACAAAAGCGTTTTGCAAAATGCATTTCTATTCATTGTCACTGGAGCAGCACAGATATCTTCCCACTTGTCCTAAGGATAACAATAGCTCTGCCTTGTCAGCCAGCCAGCACAACAGCTCGGAAGAGGCAGTGCAAAGGAGCTGAGAGATTCGAGGGACCAAACAACAGATCCTGTATCTGTTCTGCTGGACACTGTGGCCACTCAGAGACCAATCCGTTTACACAAACAACATCCACCATTGATACATAAGATTTTCACCTCTTTCCTGTCAAACCATAGCATTTGGGAACCTGTGAAGTCCAACGTAGGACACAGTTTGAGCCAAAGATCTGCCAACAGCCCCAGGGGTTGCCAGCTCTTGCAGAATACGTGAACAGGGACTGTGGCTTTGGGAAACATGTGAAACCCATGCCAAGAGCCAACAGGAAATCTGGGACTCCTCAAGCAACACAATGTACTCTGCCATGGAATAAGGAGATGTTCTCAGGGGTAACCAAGCCACGCTTGCATCTGGGCCTGGGCAGTGAGGAGGAGAGCAGGGAGAAAGGAGGGGAAGAATCAAAATGCCTCTTATTTGTCTAAACGGTTAGTGGGTAGAGTGAGAAGAGGGCCAGGACAACCAGGAGGGGGAACTAGGATGCTCTGCAGTCTCAAGGGGATTCAATATTCTGGGTCACAATGAAAGATACTGGCTCCAGTTTCCTATTGTTCTTCTTAGCAACTACCAGTTGTTTTTAACTAATACTCAGATACCTCCTCCTGGCATTAAAATAAACAAGAGATTTAGTCCCAAATCTCTCTGGGATTTTGCACTGGGGAGGCTGGTCAAAAACCATACATGAGGAAGGTATTTATTTCTGCCATACTGTGGTCAGGAAGCAGGATGACGAGTGGCAACCAGCCCAGACTTGATCTACACTGTCCATGTATGAAAGACAAAACAGGGCTGGATGAGAGGTAAAGAACTCAATGACATTCAGCAAGAGATGGGAACAGAAACAGGTAACACAATCCAAGTCAGAGGGATGGGAGGTGATAATTGCAGGAGCATGTTGGAGGGGGAGAATCAAGAAGAGACAGCAAAGAAGAAGGTAGCAGGGTTAGAAGCAAAATGAGAAATGACAGTAAAATCCTCAGAGCTCAGTTCTGCCATACTGACACAAAACCTGTGAGACAGGGAGAAGGTTTTCTTAAATCTGAAATTCGCATTTTAAAGCTGCACATTGTAAGCAGTGAAGCACTTTTTACCTAGAGACCTGAAATGTCACATCTTCCCTGCAGTGACATTTTGGTGACAAAATGCAGCTGTGCTTTGAAAGGAGTTTTTGCTATTCCCCTTGTCACTTTGCAGAACATCTGTAACACGTTGCACTTCCAGAGGTTTGAGCTGCCTTTGGAGGATCACACTGCTTCATAGCACTGGGAACAGCTCTGAAGAACTCAAAAAATGTGTTTCTTTCCTTGAGTAGAGCTGTTGTTCAGTTACAAAATGCATGGTGTTCTAGTTTTGTTCTGTTTGATACTGTCCTCACCAAAGCCAGATTGTGAGACTGGGAGTACAACTGTCTATGCCATTAGGAGATGGGGTAGATCCCTCCCTCAGCTGAAGGTAACAGACCCTATCGCATGGGGGAATGTTGCTCCAACTGGGAATAAGAAATCTGTGCCAATGCTTGGAAGGGAGGTAGAACTTTAGCCCTGTGTGAGTGACTGAAGGAGAAAGGATGTTTTTATTCTGACTCGATAAAAAGTGTCTTGGTGACTGAATGTTCCCTCATTCTTCACCTGAAAGCTTCGTGCATACAAAGCAATATTATGTACTAATAGAAATGGAAAATACCCAGTAACACCCTGCAGAATAGCCTGCTGTGTGCAGCAGACATATTCTTCATGCCCAATAAGAGTATGAACCAGCACTGACAATCCAGCACAACACAAAAACAAAGCAACCGTGTTTTGGACAGCTGTTGCAGAAAATAACAAAGTGTGGAGAGATGTTATTAGCAAAGGCAAACATCAACCAAAGTCACTATTTCCCAGGCCAGTGCTTTCCAACTGTGTCAAGTAAAGGTCTTTTTTATCACGATTTTTGTAGCAGAAATAGGTGATGGAATTACAGAATTATGCTGGTAATTTTTTGGTGGAAGGTAGGGGAAGGAGGTGAATCAGAACAGGTAATTGTCATCAACCAACTTACTTTCTGCCCTTCAGCATTCAAACCTCTGCATTAAATTGAAGATACAACAAGAAAGCCTTTTGCTCTTCTCTAAGTGAATACAGAATTCTTGGAAACAAAGGTGAGATTTTGTAGTGCTGGGAATGAAGGCTGTGCTACCTTGTGGTTTCACCAATATCACCCGTGCAGTGCTCCTAACTCTTTCTAGTCTAGCCCTCCATGTAGCTTTGTCAATGAATTGCACATGTGATTTTAAACTACAGCTTCCAATTTAATCCTGGGTTTTGTCCAGTTCTGTTCCCAGACTACACAGAGAGCACCAGGACTGTTAAAGTTAGAGAGCATAAGAAAAACACAGATGTGCATTCAGCTCTCAATTATCCAAAGTAAGAGGGAAAGGACTATAACGCAGATACAGCAAAAACATGATCTAGTACAAAATATGAATTAAATAAGCTGTAACAACATAGGGCAAACAAGTTACACTGCCAAAACACAAAAACACAGAAGGATAATTTTCTTCAGCATGCCAGTTTACCTGCAGAACTCACTGCCACGAGGTGCTACAGAGGGTAAACCAGGGTTTGATATGAGAAATAAAACATGTTGATGGTTACATAAGCTTGGATAAATATGCTGAGGTCGACCAGCCCCCACAATTATAGTTTCAAAGCCGACTGCATATCATCAGGTTTTATAACCTCCTCTACACACTTGCAGCTGGTTACAGGAGGCTTCAGAGACACAGGCCTGGGAGACCTGAATCCTTGGGCTGATCCAGGTGAGTAAGTCTGTTTTGCACACATTTTCTGCATCTGCACACATTTTCTGCATCTGCAATATCTGAGACTTTGACAATACATGTAGCAGTCAGAGGATGCTACTGCCTCAGACATGAGACTCCCGTCCCCATGTGGCTCTGAGCCATGTCAGCATACAGGGCCCTGAGCAGGGCACCTGGGAAGTGAAGGCAGCTGGCATTTCACCATGACCGTCTAAAAGCTGCTTTAATGCAAGTAGCTTTGTCTTGGCAAAGCAGTTCCCACCCACCCCTCATGACAAAATGAGGCTTGTGAAAGCATGGGTTACCTCCCAAACATACTCCCCATTTCATAGGCTAGCTCATGCTTCAGCCTAGGTATCTTCTCCTGCAAGGCCAGGAGGAGTACATCCATGCTGGGGGAAAACAGAATGGAGAGGATCACCTACAGACATTCCTCTCCTTTATCCCACGGCCGGGCTTGTCCATCAAGTGTGATCCTGGAATGGGACACTTCCCTTCCCTCTGGTTCTGGGGAGCATTCACAGAGCACACCCAACGCCAGCACCTCACCCATCTCAGCCTCAAGAGTTGTTGTCACTTCCCTATGAGTGCTTAAGCATCCTGATGCAGACAATTTGTCAGGGAGGAACTTGCTACTTGCAGGCAGATCTGTTTACTCGTCCCCCTCAGCCCTCAGACTCGCCGAGCTCACAGACTGACAGCGCTGTCAGGTCCCATTCATTGCTCAGCAGCCGATGCCTCACACCTCCTCACTCCCCTGCTGAACACAGCAGGACCTCGGGAGCCAAGGCTCTGCCCTCAGATGGGGCTCAGTGATTGATGCATCACAGTAATCACCAGCACTCATCACCGAATAGTGAAACTTCACTTCATAAAGGCTTTTTAGGGTGGGAGGTGCGGGTCAGGGCTCCCGCACGCTGATGCTTTTAGAGCCAAGCCAGCTGGGCGCTCGTACCAACAGCCTCAACCCAACAGGCTGAATTAGAGGAAAACAAGCCCAAGAGCTTCTCTTGTTAGTTCAAACTGTTCTTACCTGGAGGGTGGAGAGAAGGACTTGCAAGCCACTGGCTTCTTGTTCTGCCATGCTGCTCCCCACTCACACTCCCTCCTTCTAGCAGCAGACACAAAGCAGCTCGAAAGCAAAGCTGCCAACTTGCCTTGCTGCTGCCCCTGTGCCGTTTAAGAAACGAAGAAGCTAAACACAGATCCCCAGACACATGCACACTGCTACCACCAATAATCACAGCAATGCAACTCTAGACCTCAGCAGGAGAGATAAATGTACCCCCTCCCTCCCAGCTCTCCCACTGTGACGAGAAGATTAATTCCTATATAAAGAATCCCGGGGATTAAGTAAAGTGCCCAGGAAAGGTCTTGGTGCTTGATGTGTGGCAGGGGGAGTGTGGGGAGGGTGGCAATAGCAACAAGAAAGCAGAAGAGCTACAAACCTCAAAGAAAGCCAGGGAGAAGGGAGAGAGCACGCTGGCTGCCTGACAGGCATTCCCAGCTGACCTGCTGATCCATTCCAGACCCTGCGTGGACTCGTCTCCGTTTGACTCCGTTCCAGTGAAACCGGAGACATGGAGAAGGCAGAGCAAGAGAGAGAGATGCCCTCGGTCTTAACGAGCGCTGACAACGAACGGAAGATACACCCGGCATGAGGGACAGGTGGAGCGGGTTCACCACGGCTCGCAGAGGGCTGTTGGCTTCCAGCCCCGATGATTGTCCCAAGTCACAGCTGCTGTGGCCACAGGCAGTGCCCCGCGGGGCAGGGAGTGACCGCAGAGGGACATCTCGTGTCTGCACAGCAAAGGCACCTCTTCAAGGTGCAGTCTGGGGGAGAGTGTGCTACAAGGGCCACTGTGGTGATTCACACGTACCTATATCTGTATATAAGCATAGCAACTCAGAGCCTGGTTCATTCCCTGGTGCACAAGACACGCTATAGTACAGTTGTAGTTGTAGCTCGAATTCCTAGGAGGGCACAGAGTCCACTTTTAGCTTCAGCCGAATGATATCAAAGGACTTGGTAAACAAGAAGGAGCAGATAAAGAAGTTGAGTAGAGGGTTAGGTGAGGATTTTCCAGCAAAATATTTTCAATGTGAAAAGGTCAATTAGTCCCACACAAGTACTTTTTCAGCTTTCTTAACATCAGAATGGCATTTTTGGTCCTGAGAGGCATCACTCCAAGATGGTTAGAAGGCTGACAGTTGAGATAATTGCTATTATGCAGAGGACAAAGATTAGATCTTGTCTTTCCAATCTGGGGACACAAATTTCAGTCTTTTACCTCTAGAATAAGTACTTCATTCTGGTGAGTGTCTTTTTAGTCCTTCCAATAGGAGTTTTTCCCCATAACTAAGGATTTTTGAAGCAGTAACATGAACCATGGTCTCTGAGTACAAAGCAGATGCTTACAGAACTCAGTACCACACAAAGCCATACCAAACAGACAGTGTGTACACATTTTCCTTTGCTGATGTCAGTATAAAACCCTGATCTTCTATGATGCAGTTAAATGAAAAATAAAACACTCCACTCTTGGCCAAGGACTATTTTCATGTGATAAACCTTCATTGACCAAGTGTTTTAGGAAAATAGTAAGACAATTCCTCTCCAACTCATCCCAGCAATGTGTGAACAAGTGGTACAAGCATGACATTTCTCGTTTTCTGTGTGTGCCAGCAGGGTCCCAGGGTGTCACTACCAAGTTGTAAAATAAACCAGATTAAAATACCTGTGTCATAACTATGGAGATACATCAGTTCCTTCAGAGAGAATGCCGTGAGGACTGTTCATTGATGAACAAGATACTTCACAGACAACTAGGCAGAATAAGACAAGAAATTTCCTTTCCTATGGAAATTCATGTTCAAGGACTTTAGTTTTCTTAAAAACATGTTTTATTTCAATTTTAATAAGAAAAAAATCTATTGCACTCCATGAAGTACCATATTTCGGATAGAGAGCTGGTGTTCAGCCATTAGAACACTGAATTTTTGGCCATTTTGGGTGAGGAAGTTTCTAGAAGCTTCTCACAGAAGTCACACTTGTATCCACTCACTACCAAAACCTTGTCGTGCAAACCCCATATGGCTTTGGGGATCCTTTCACATCAGCAGGACTCAAACCTAATAACAGACCACAAATAAGGAGTGAACCGAGGCAATGCAGGCACAGTGTCATCAAATGTGCTGGGTGGGAGGAAAGTGGGTAACGGGTTCTGAGAGCAGTGCCAACACACTATTTCTTTCAGAAATTAGTGCACTGACAGAAAACTACTTCACAATTAATTAGAAGCTGTTTAAAGAACCTCTTCCACATTGTTGCTTCGTTCTCTTTCTTGTGACAATTGTACCTGTCACTAGAGCTGTGTGGAACTATTAATTCCCACTGTGTGGATTTTCAGAAGGCAGTGAAAGCTGATGGATGTAAGCAGGCAATGGCTGCAGGCAGCCTGGATGCCCTGATCCCCTCCCACATCACAGAACCTGATCCCTCAGCCTTCTTGCACTCGAATGGATCATAAACCACATGGTGATCACCTCTCCCTCTTGTATCTTAATGTATTGGGTGACTATTTAGCTTTCTGCCCCACGTGCAACACGACATTTGCCTCTATTAGGACTCTATAACAGATTCTGTAACACAGTGATCTGCTTCTTCCTCTCTGTGTGAAGAAGCTTTAGAAATAATTGCAAAAATTTCACTACAAATAAGCCAACCCAAGAGGAAAGTAACACCAACATCACAGCTTGGGGGGGAAAATTCTCTTATGTTCTTTAAATTTTGGGAGTAGTTGGCTTAGTTGTGCCCAGAGATTAAAAAAGCATCATATACCAGAAAGCTCTGGAGATTTGAAAACAAGACACGATGAGAAGAGTGATTCAAAAATAAAACACTCATGCAAGACCCCAGCAGTGACAGTGATGTTCACATTGATCTACAGTGTACAGCAAAACCCCTTTGAAACCAAATTCTTAGCTATAAATCATGGAGGCTTCTAATTATTCACCATTCCCAAGGCGTTTCTTCCAGATTTTGTCAAATTTGCAATGTTATTTTTGGTTTCTAAGAATAGGAGGTCCCCCACCTCAACAAGCTGAATAAATTAGGAAACCTACACAGAGCTAAATGCCAGAATTAAAGCACACAGATTCTCCCTCTCCATTCATATTACACTGCAACACAGTTTGAAGATTAGCTTGTTAGTTTATATTGATGTCGTCGTTGTTTCCCCTGTGCCCTTAGGATTATGTGATCCTTAAACAAAATGAAAATTAAACTCATGGCTCCAGCTTCCTACTAGTGCCAGAGTTAATGTTCTTGTGGGGAGGACAGAGGGGATTAGAAGCACAAAGGCAGGACCTCTGGGCTCTCTGCAGGTGCTGCACAGGCTCAGACCAGTAATTTTCTTTTCTTATGCTCCAGGGCTCAGACACACAAACAAGTCAGAGATGTCATCTGATCTCCAGTAAATATGTGTACATACATTTAGCCCATAGCAAAGGGAAGATAATTCAGGATCATTTTACCTGCATTAAAAGAGCACTCAGTCCAATTATTTCACATTTTATGAGCATATACAGAAACCATTACCATGGATCAGCTGACACTAAGTAATACATTAGCCACAGAAACTTGTTCCTGTGACTAAACCAATGTTTTCCCTACCTATGAAAGTATGAAGTTTTCTCATGGAGATGTTGTACAGATATAAAATTGGCAAGCCTTTATCCAGAAGCATTTTTTTCATCTATAGCATTGCATTAGAATTGTATGAGGTTAAAAATCTCCCTGGATGAGATAATCTGGAAATTTTCATTGTGAACGGGGTGATGAGGGAAAGACAAAAATCCTCTGCTGGGTATCTAGCAAATATAGTGTTATAGATCTGATATTTATTAAAAGTGGGAAGCCCATTCAAGAATTTAACATATTTAAATAACATTTTACTCTGTTATTATCACTTTTCCATTTATTCCGTCACCTCCAAACCAGAATTCATCATATTCTTATCCACCTGCAGGAATGCATTTGAAAGTAATTTACATGCTAAATCAAAATTAGCTCAAAGTCTTAAACTCTGGAAAAACAGCACCAGAATCAGTATTACCAGAATAAAGTGACCAGCTACAGCCAAACTTCACATTTCCTGTCCAGAGCCTATACCAACAAACTGCAGAACTCATTCAATTTTTGGATATTAGCATTAAATGAAGTCCAAATACCAAAATCAGCTTGGAAACCTGTGATTAACCTGAGAATATTTTCCTCCTTATTCTTAAAAAATTGACAGCATTTTTGCACTCACATTGCACACCTGGTTTCTAATAGGATTATTTGAATTTTTAAACCACTGAGATAGATAAGAGAACAGCCAGGTTCTGTTAAAAATGGGAAGGAAAAAAAAGTCTAATTGGATAAATTATTCATTCTGAAGCCAGCCTGAGTTTTATGAAATGCAATTGAAATATCACTGTGTAAAATACCCAGATAACTGT